ACACACACTGAGCACACAGATCATCAATGTTCTCAAGCCCCTGATGTATGTGAACTTGATGCCTGACGCGCACACCAAGAAAGAGGCACTGCCCTCATTCCTTTATTCCGGGACAGTTTCCAGAGGTTTTCAAAGGACGAGCCAACAAATTCTCACCAGAGACTCTTTCGGCCCTCCTTCCTGGTGTCACGTCCAACCCAAGTGCACAGGGATCTGGTCCATCCCATTGTTCTCCTCTGGGCTCCCTCCTGTCCTGTCCTCCAGGAAGGCCGTTCCTGCAGGCAGCCACTGGAGTGGTCTGTGGAGTAAGAGCAGGTGCCACCAGCCCGATGTGTGATTTCAACAATAGCCCTTGTTTCCGTCTTCAACGACAGAATGTCTTCTTCTCAGTGACTTTTTGGCATTGTGGGGGCCATGTCCATCAAAACCTGGGTAGGCTGTCACATCAGCAACCCTGTGGAGGAGACTCAAATTCCCACCGCTACCCAGGAGCACGTCTGGCCATTCAGGAAACAGCCCAGTGAAGAGCAGCCTGGTCCGGTTTGGTGCAGTACACCAAGGGGGTCGGAGGTTGCACTGGGGAACAGGGATAAAGATCTATGTTCTGAAACACCTGGGAGCCATGACAGGGTCCTTTATTTTCCTTGGCAAAGAGCCATAGGAAAAAAGGTAAATAGCATCCTTTATTGGGCTATTTCTTCAGTTTGTATGGACCGTGCCTCCCACAGATAGGTGCTATGATCCTCCTTTTACAGATGAGTTCATTGACACTTGGAGGTTAAAGCGGCTCCCAAGGCATGCAGTGAGCTACATCAGTGCCTAGATCTAACCCCTGGTCATCTCTGTCACTGCAGAACCCATGCCCCCATCTCCAGGCACACGATTGAACACAGAGCTGACAATAAAACCAAAAGACTCCCTTCTTTTCAGTCCCACCACAGCAAAGGGTCACCCAACTCACGGTCGAAGCACTGAGGCCTTGTGTTTGGGAGAGTTGGCAAATACGGCAGGAGGGTCAAGCTTAAAGTGGCCATCAACTTGTCTCTGGCTCTTCTGGCTTCTTGAGCAGAAAAACTTCCCTTCTGTTGTCCCTACGCTTCATTTGAAAAACAGGGTTTCCAAGCAAATGTAGATTTCCCAGGCACCCTAGGGGTTCACTAAGTAAAAGCAGCCCCTAGTACCAGCAACCTCCACCTGGAAGGTCCCACCCTCTGCATGGACCACCCCAGTCCCACCCTCTCTGCTTTGAAGGTAGCTATTGGATCCTCTCTGCAGCCTCAGCTCCCGCACCACTTAAGTAGCCCGTTCGCTCTTTCTTTCTTTCTTTCTTAAAATATTTTATTTATTTATTTATTTGACAGAGAGGGTAAGAGAGCACAAGCAAGGGGAGCAGCAGAGGGAGAGAGAGGAGCAGGCAGCCCTGCTGGACTCGATCCCAGGACCCTGGGATCATGACCTGAGCCTAAGGCAGAGGCTTTAACCATCTGAGCCACCCAGGTGCCCGTAAAGTAGCCCTTTCTTTACTCCCTACTTCTTTCCCAGAACAGACTCAAGGCTCTCCCAAGAGGTCAGCAGGCCAGCGGTCCCCCGGGGATCATGAATCACGCGGTGCCATGAACTGTGAGGGGCTGCGGTCCAAGAGGAATGGCTGTAAAGTGGAGCCGGTACAGACACCCTCCTGCTGCCACCCTTTCTAGAACGTACTGGCGGGGAACACAGAGTCCTCTCTGCCCCCCCGCAACTCGCTCCTCCGGCCTTCTGGAACAGGACGGGTTCCTAGAGTTCTGCGAATCCAGGAGCTTCAGCAACCACCGCAAGGAAGCCAAGGAAGGAGGAAATAGAAAACGGTCTTACCTGAGGCAGCGCCGGCAGGGTCCGTCCTCGTGCCAGACAAGCCTCCTCAAGTTTCTTCCCTTCATTCAGATCCGTGGCTCGTCGACTCCTCTGTGTCTCGAGTGCCTTGAAAGTGTTTCCCTGCTTCCAGCTAAGTGTCCAGGCAATGGCGCAGCAGGGAGAGGCCGGGGTGTGAGCCACGGCCAGGCTCATTCTCGGCTTCTGCCGCTCCTAGATGTACGAGCCTCAAAGTGCACACACGTCCCATGGAGAGAAGGCCGGCACTCACTCCCACAGGCTTACTGAGAAGTGAGACAGCGTGGGCAGAACCTATCATCCAGTAAGCATTAAGTCTCTGTGAGGCGATCAGTCATTAGGAAAATACAAAAATACAGAATTCTGCACACAATTTCAGAGGCCCGTGGACTTCCGGGGGATCCTTAGGTTAAGAGTCTTTGGCTTGGTCCCTAAGAGTCTACAAGACAAGCGCTGTGGCCAAAGCTTACGTTTTCTCTCTGCACGCCATCAGCACATCTGGGCGTGTGTGGTGTGCCGGGAATCCGGTCTCCAGTGTTGCTGGCACACCTGAGCGGGAGATGATGACTCACCCGAGGTCTCACAGCGGAAGTCTGTCTTCTGACTCACTAAGCTGCCTTCCTAAGACTCCTGAGGCTTCCTGAGGGCCAAGGTCGCTCTTCATTCCGTTGTCTGCCGTGCTCTGTGCCCACGAGAGAGCCTGAGACACTTCCCCTGGGTCCTCAGACTGGCAGTGAGGGGCCCATCTTGCTGTAGAGCTGCACCAGGTGCTAAATCCCTTCAACTACAAGGTCAAGGGGACACTCCACCTCTTCTGTGTGACCTCGCCACTCCCGGTCTCACTTCACCTGTTAAGAGAAGGACAGCTCTGACCACCTGGATGCCCTGGGAGGGCCGAGCGAGGTCTTGGCTACGAAGCCCACATGTGGTACCTGGACTGGTGTCTGTCCTCCAGGCAGGGGGGAGGTTCCAATTAGTTTCCAGATGAGGAAACCAAGCCGAAAGCCCTGAACGACAGGTCTCCCGGTCTTCTCTCAGGCCATTCTTCCAAACCGTACCACGCAGCGGCCTCCTGGACCGGGCGCACGGATCTGTCCCCCAGTTTGTTGCACGACAATTGAGGAAGGGAAGAAGGTTTTCATGGGGCATTTAAATAGCTCAGGGAACAAAAAGATGAGTGAGTCAGTCGTGTTGGCACCTGAAATGACCGCAGAGGGGAGCTGGGGAAGCAGAGGGAGGAGATGGCTCAAGACGCGGCCTTTATAGGCCCCTGACCACTCTGGATCTCTTCAGAACAAGCAAGCCTGGAGAATGGCGGTGCTTCCAGCCCAGCTTCCTCTGGTTTCGGGAATAGCAGTCATTTCTCAGAAGCTGGCCTGACAGAGGCGACTCTTCCAAAGAGCCTGAGAGTTTCAGCTTGGCTCTTTTGCTGAGCAGGAAATGGACTTATAAAGAAGCAACCGGGGGGCGCCTGGGTGGCTCAGTGGGTTAAGCCGCTGCCTTCGGCTCAGGTCATGATCTCAGAGTCCTGGGATCGAGCCCCGCATCGGGCTCTCTGCTCAGCAGGAAGCCTGCTTCCTCCTCTCTCTCTCTGCCTGCCTCTCTGCCTACTTGTGATCTCTCTGTCAAATAAATAAATAAAATCTTTAAAAAAAAAAAAAAAAAAAAAAAAGAAGCAACCGGGAGTGTTGGATAGACAGCAGAAGAGACAGCCAAAAATCTGGCCAGGGATGAGAAGCACTGGCTTTCTAGGCTGCGGACAGCTGTCCACTCAACAGTCCTCCAGCCCGGCACGAAGCAGATTATTTTTGTATATATTCTGATCCAACTAACACTTATCAAGTGTCTGCTGTGTGCCAGGCGCCAAGCACAAAGCTTCTTTTTATAAACTTCATTTAATGCCAAAAGTTTGAGAAGGTGGCATCACACCCCTCTTTCCTCAGACAAGGAAACAGGAGCAGAGTAAACGACTGGCCGGCATTCCTCACACATCCTCTGAGCTCTGAGCACAGCGCAGTCGCCAGGAAGCCGAGCTGCATTGTCCTTGGGGGCAAGAAAAGCCTGCCTGCATCTGAGCTAAAGTTCAAGAGGTCGCGGCTCATCTTAGGAGCACACACTTGGACCTCCCTGCCTTGTGACTTCTAGTGACAAGAAGGAGTTTCCAAGCCAGATTCAGAATTCAATGCCTTTTTTTCCTCCTAGCCCAGATCCCCTCAAAAAAATGCCACAACAGGGGATACAAATTTTTAACATACTTTATTGATTTAGGGGCCAAACAAGGCAGCATTTGGTCAGTTAAGAAAGGCACCTCATTGAAAATAATACATCACAGTGCTGACGAGTGATCCCAGTCACAGGATTTGAGGATGGAAAGGACAATCTTTGGATGACGTTGCTTAGGGCACTTGCTTGTTTATTAACAACGGTCCCTTCCCACATTGTGGATGCAAGATGGCAAGAGTGCAGGGATGCTGGGTGGCGGCTGGGAGCTGACCCATGAGAACAGGGCGGGGACCAGTACACAGCAGTATGTGGTTGAGGAGGGAGACCAGCCCCACCTTCCCCCAACTCCAGTAAACTTGATTGGCTGAGCCACGGCCCCCATGAACACGCCCCCTCCCAATCTTTCCAATGCAGAGATGATCTTTCGATCTCATGGTGCAAGGGAACCAAGGCCAGGAGTCGAACCACCGCCATTCCAGGCTTTTGGAAAGACGGGGCAACAGTCTGACTTCCTGCATTCTCAGGCTGGCAACCCATGAGGCTCTGAGATAAAAACTGAGGTCTTAGGACATTTGACTTTAAAAAATATTGTCACCAATCCACAGTAAATGAAACCTGGCTTCCTTAGAAACAATACTGCACCTCCCTATTTCTATTTACAGCCTCTAATCAGGTTTTTAAAAAAAAATTAATTTCCCCCTTTTTCAGACTCCTCTATGACGTGTGAAAGAGACGGCCTATCACATTGTTGCTCTCCGTTACTCCTTTTGGGCCCTTGCCATTCCTCCCTCTCCATCCTCACCCTGACCACCCCTCCCCTCTGCCCAGCACCTAAGAGCAGGGATCACGCCGCGGGGTGATGAACAGTGGTGCAGTCTCGCCTGGCCTTCTGCTACTAGGCTGAAATAGAGAGGAAACAAGAGAGAACAAAACGGGTTTTTAAAAACCAAGTAAGTATCAGGGAAGGCTGGCATGCAGGCCCCAGCAACCAAATGTATCAGACACTGGACATTTCTGTCGGGAGAAAGCTCTCATGCCTGCTGAGGTTAAGGCCATGTAATTAAATGAAGCAAAAATCTAAATCCTGACCACCCCCCAAAAGGACATATCATCCTGCATGTTCTAGGTTCACCGGCAGCCAAATATGCACACGTGAATGTATACGGATGGGTGACAAGTATTTGAGGAGAATCACACACATTCAATTAGCAAACACTCAAGGACAGCCACCTCGAGGCCAAGTGGCTGCAACTGTCCCCTGTGAAAGGGGAGTGGACTCCAGGATCTGTGAGGTCTCCCTCCCCCAGAGAAGGGCCCAAAGCCACTGCAGACACAGCTCATAGTTTTGGTTTCACTCCTCTTCCCTGAAGTCATGTGCTTCCCAGAAATGCCCCATGGCAGACTAGGTTTCTGTTCAGAATGGGCGGAGTTAGTGTACAGGCAGGGAGGCAAGGCGGAGCAGAGCTGGCAGACACTCACTTGAACCAGACCAAAGGAAAGCAAGATGGCCACGTACCCACGCCCAGCTTCCAGGTGGACAGGGGACAAGCCCTCTCAGAGTTCCATAGACAGCAGGAGACCCAGGTCAGACGGGGACTGGGACTCTAGAGCCCACTGCACCAAGTCAGCAGATTGTGCCAGGGCTGGCAACGTTATTTACTGGGCCTGCCACTGGTTTTCCAATGGTTTTTCCAGGAGCTGCTGTTTTGTGGCCTCTTCCAACAGTCTATTAATTCATCTGTTTGCCACAAGTCAAATAGCACAGCATGGACCTCAGGAAATGCTTAATAGATGGGGAACTGAAGTTAGGAGTAAAAGCTGGTTCCTGTCATAGTTGATCTTATTTTGGGTGATCTTTTCTTGGGGAGTCTGTGGAGAGAGTCTGAGTTTACAACAGACACACCTGATTGCGGTTTCATATCCTGCAGAGACTGGGTCTGAGTAAACTCTAATGACAATGAGGCCAAGAACAGAGCACCTCCAAATCAGTTTTGTTCGTACTTGGACTGAGACCAACATTAAAAATGCAAACAAACCAACCTACCCTGGTCTCTCTGGGAAGTGGCCTGGCTGCTCTCAGATGCCCAGCCTGGATGTTCGGAAGGCAGCATGAATTCAAAAGGAACATCGATTTGGGTTTAATTCTTTGGCAACAATTCGGTTTTTACACACGGGGCCCAAGGGGTCCCTACTTTATAGCACTGTGATGCAGATCACAGAAATTTTCCACCTTAGCCCAGATCTTTCTATGGTGATACCTCTACCAGTTATTTCTGAAATCTGTAGTGTATATGCCCTTTTCTTTTCACGGAGGGGAAAAAAAAAGAACAATCCCCATCCACATACTGACTTGTGGCTTTTCACTGTGGGGTAGAAAACAAGTGGAATTCCCTGCCAACATCTGCCACTGGGAACCTTGGCCCTGCTTGACTTTATGTGATCCTGGACTCCTACTCAGCTGTTGGGAGAGGGACCATGAGGTTCTAGAACTGCGGTACCTGGCCGATATCTGAGTTAGGCTATCTGGTAAAAATAAATAAAAATCAAGACTATGGCTAAAGAAGTAAACAGCTGGCAGAGCAATCTTGCCTGTAGCTTAGAAAAAAGGAAGAGTGTACATGTATTTAAATCAACGAACACACGCACGCACACACACAGATGAGATGAGAGTTGCACACACGCTAAAGAGACATCAAGCAAGCGCTTTTTTAATCGGTACAACAAACGGTATTCTCGCTGGCCTCAGGAAGCTTCTCTCTGCCTGCTCTGTAATTCCCACCCTCCCTCAACAGGGATAGGAAGAAAGAAATTCCTTTTTGGACCCAACATTAGATAAACATAACCAAGTCTTTACATGTGGCTTTGGAGAAGGCCGCTAGGATGCTGGCAAACACGACGTCGGGGGTCTGGGTGGCATCGATGACAGAGTGGATCCCTCGTTTCCTGTAGTACTCCACCAGCGGGGTGGTCTGAGTGTGGTAGGCCTCCAGGCGGATCTTCAAGGCCTTCTCATTATCATCTGATCGGCGGACCAAGGGCTCCCCAGTGACCTGAGAACAGGAAGGGGGCAGTGAAAGTCTGGGACGGTTAGCAAAGTTCCTTATCTGATGATGCCAGGTGCAGATTTGTGATGCTGTCTGCTCCCAAAGTCCATCAGAGGGAAAGAAAGATGATCTAGATCCCCTCCACTGCGGAACTCTAAATAGCTTTGCGACTCCCAGGAAGTTGGTCCTAGGAGCAGACCAACTAGTCCGGAGGAGCCGGGCAGCCTGAGGCAGCAAAGTGTGAGGAAGGGGGTTTGTGGGAGGAAGACAGGCAAGGCCCTTCTCTCACAGCTTCTGCTCAGGCTGCTTGGCTTCCAAGATGAACACTTCTAGGATCTTAAGCAGGAAAGATAGAGGCCCTTGAGACTGAGAATACATAAAAAATCAGAGATGCATCTGCCATTGTAACCTTAGTTGGCAAAGTATTCGGTGTTTTCACTAGGGTGTCGGCCATCAGTGTTGTAGCAGTGGCAAGTAAATGAGAAAGAACTCTGAATGCAGAGTTCCCAATTGTGGGATACGTGGCTACGCTGACACGAGGGCTCTGAAACCTGTAGGACCTGACGAACTTGTCTGAAGGGGCAAAGGCAAACCCAGGACTCTCACTCTCACCTGCATGTTCTAGAACAGGTGAAACAGACCTAGTACAGCAAATGTTACAGCGAACATGTATAAGACCCTCCCTGTCACATCTGAAAGCCACTGCAGACTGAGCACTTGGCAACATTAATCCAGCCTAGACAGTCTGAATCTGTCGGACACAGCAGAGTCAACAGAGGGGACATTCTTCTAAAGTTAGGACCAATCAACACATCTCTCTTCAGTCCTGTTCTCCCAGCTTGGCTCTGCTTCTGGGCTTCCAAGCAGCCCTCTCCTGAGGTTAGTCAACCATTTAGATCACCATGATAACAGAGAGAGGCTGCGCTGGACCAAAGACAGGTATAAACCGGGCACTGTGAAGTAGCCAGTGCTGGTATCTACCTCAAAGTCAAATAATAAACTACCCGGGAAGGCGCTGTGTAGACAGAAGAGCCATGGCGCACGAGGTTTACTTTGTAGTGGTATTTCTCACGGTTAAGTTAATCATATTGGTAGGAATAAAGGGAAGATGGAAAGAACAGAAAACAAAAAGGAAGAAAGGGGAAGGAAGGAAAAGGAAATTTCCTGTCCTGGGTTTACATACGTCATCTTTCATGTGTTCCTTTGGGGGGTTGAACTCCTCGTGGTAGGAACGGCCACTCAGAGGGTGAATCAGCCTGAAAGACAGCAAACGAACATGAGTCAGGTTGCCTGAAAGTACCCCGGCACCCCGGGGTCTCCAGGTTGATAAGCAACAACAGAGGAGCTGGACATGAGGACTTTACCCAGCCAGAACCCTGCTATAGGCGTCTCTCGCTTGGGAAGATAGCCGGGCTTCCAGGAAGCTTATGCCAGAGGGAATATGTTTTCTACTTTGACCCAATATGATAATGACCGTCTGGCTGCCGAGGCTGGCGTTAAGCACCTAATTCAGGAACCCGGTGCTGGTCTTACACAGCCCTTCATTTTATTCACCCACTCGCCCAACAGACGTTTACTAAGTGCTCAGTCCGACTCAGGCGTCATACTGAATCCAGGGGCCGCACTGCAATGAATCAAGATGCCTGATCAAAAGCAGCGCTTACTTTAGTGGGAGGGACAAATGTGGAAAAAAAACGAAAATAAATGTGACTATCCTTTAATAGAGATTTGTACAACGTGCCACGGAGGCCAGAGGACAAAGAAGCTAACCCTATTTTATATCCCAGTTCAGTTACAAAAACCAGAAAGGTGTGATGGCGAAGTATTATGTCCTTTAGATGCAAACGGCACCAGACAGGGAGGCACCCCTGAAGCATCGAAGGGCCAAGCAATATGAACACTGGCACCAGGGGAAAGGACTTACTCAACAAGTCAGGAAGTGCCCAAGAATTAAGTGTTCAGCGGGTGCTGAAAACGTAGCTGGGCACCCCATCTCTGCCGGGCCCCCTTGGGCCACAAACTCGAGTTACTGACTGTGAGGGGCCATGCCATGGGAGCCCAGAAACCTAAGAAGGGAGGAAAGCAGGCCAAACACTGCCCAGCAGCCAGACGTCTAGTTTCTCACGTTTGTGCCGACCTGGACTTTCTTACTGAATGGATGCCTGCTCTCCTGATGAAGGTCTGTTACACCAGAGCTTCCCAACATTTTTCACCTCTTGGCGCTGGCGGAAGCATTTATGTGTTAAGCACTTGCGTGCTTCCCCTCCAGAATAGTCCAGGCCTACCCAGCTGCTCTGATGGCTGAGGGGATCCACATCTCGGCATATCCGTTGGGAAAGTCCGGGTGAGACTATCAAAGCCTGGGCAGGGGCGCGCAGGTGGCTCAGTCGGTGGAGCGTTGGACTCTTGGCTTCAGCTCAGGTCACAATCTCAGGGTCGTTAGATCAAGCCCCGCATCAGTTTCCACGCAGTGCAGTCTGCTTGAGATTCTCTCTCCCTCTCCCCCTTCCCCTTCCTTGGTCTCGACAGCACACTTTTGGGGGGCTAAGCAGTCCATTTACAGCACTGGTGGGGGCAAGGTGATGGCTGAGCAGAACAGGCTACACTGATGGCTATGCCTGTTGTCAGGCCCTCTTTTATTTGAGTCACTGGTGAGGTTCCTCTGGTGCCTCTATTGGGAGACCTGGGGAGAGGCTGCGGGGCTCAGCTACAGCTTTCCCTCTGCAAAGGCTTGCAAGCTCGAGACATGGACCATGATTCTTCCCCTTCTGGAAAGCACAAGGCACACAGCAGCCCAGCTGCAGCAGACCTGACTCTTTCGTTTCCACATCCCTACATCTCTCACTTACTTCGATTCCCTCAGCCCTCCAGATACAGACAACACATGGCTCCTTCCCCGTGCCCAGACTTCATTTTAAGAGGAATGCCAGGCTCACTCCCCGGAAGGGCAACGAAAGAAAGTCCAAGATCCAAGTTTTCGAAGTGGGACTGGTCTCAGTACCAACCACAACAGCTCTAAGGACCACTGAGCCTGACCTAGTGGTGGGGGTCGTGATGGGGAAGGACATGAGCCGGGATTCTAGAGCCGTTGCTGTCTTGAGGAGGACACTTCAGATGCCTGTTTTCTCAGCCACAAAGGATGGACGGCTTGAGACATTAGGACAGCCAACTGGTAGGATAATTAGGATATTGGAGAGCCAACACTGAGAAAGTTAAAACCCATAACCGCCAACCATACATATTCAAGACATAAAGTAATGACTCATAATATCGTCAGAAGTAAGGTCAGAGCTAATCAAAATTTACAGTGTGTTTTTATCATGCCAGATTTAAATAAGATCCAAATTAAACCAACTAGTCCCTGCCCCGTTTTCTTCCAACCCTCACTGTAGTGGACCAGGAGGCAGAAAGCCCACTTTCAGTGCTAGTTCTGCCACTGATCCACAGAGTGAATCTGAAAAAACTGCTTTACCCGTCTGGTGTGTCCTTCTCTGTGAGGGAGGTGGTTGCACCATATCACTCACCCCCAAACCCAGACCCTGGGTCTTCTTCATGCTCTACAATAACCTTGTAATTTGCTCTTCAGCATCTCTTCATTCCCCACCAGCCAACCCCAGTCAAAAGCCTCCACAACTCCACGTGGGGATCAGAATCTTCCTCCTAGGTGGGCTCTTGTCTGTTTCTCTTTTGCCCCAGTTTAGCCTGTACACCAGGGCCAAACTAATGTTCTTAGAATGCTGCTCCTGCCCTAACACCTCATGGCTTAAAAATGTCACATGACTCCTAATCTGTCTACCCTCTTCACCCTGGCCAACCTTCCCCAGTCAAGCGCCCATCTGATCTTCCCAATAGCACTTTTTCTACCATCCAGCCCCGCAGATCACTCCTCCAACTCCGGACAGACATTTTGCCACCACCCCTAGAGCTAGAGGCCCTCCCCTAACCCTTACTCATTCCCACCTCTACTCCCTTCCTGGAAAGCCTCACCGAAATCCTCTCCATCCAGGAAGGTCATGTTTGACATTACACCTCTCCTAGGCAGCCTTCCCTTTGCCCTCCCAGGCTCGCTCCTTAGGACTACCCACTGCGTTAATCAGCCCAGGTTTCTCGTATGGCTTGTAGACTCTCTGAGGTCAGAGACGGGCACATTGTTCTTCTGTACCCTCCAGTATGGCGCTACACACAGAACAGGCACCCAGAAACATGGGCTGATCGATGCAAAGGCCCCCAGCGTCAATAAAGTGGATCCCACCATATCTAACGTAGCCCCTCAGGAAAACACCTGTCAACACTCACCCCGCTGTCTGTTTACATGTCTACCTCTGCCCTTGTAGATATGAACTACAGACCCATAGAAAAAATGTGCATCTTCATGAGGAAATCAACTTAGTAAAATTTACAACAAGAAAACATTCTCCTTCTAATTAATTCCAAAAGTTTACACGTACTAGGATGGTCACAGCATTAAATTAACAGCAGACAACTATAAAAAACACAACCGTACCACAATAAGGGGACAAGTGAGTAAATGATGGCTCTACTGTGAAATACCAAGCAGCAAGCAAAAATAATGGTCACAGACATCTGGTTCAAGATGGCAGACTGACTACCTTCCTGAGACTCCATCAAAATGACTAAGGGATATCAAAGTCACAGCCCACAATAAAGATGAGACTGGGAGGAGGTCTATTAGTGGCCAAGATCTTCCCACATATTTCTGGAAGGCACAAAGCAGATGGCAGAGTGGACAGGAAACAGGGTAGAGGAAATTGTAGCCTAAAGCAGTGGCCCTTTCAGGGCAAACTTGTTGAGAAACAGAAGCATGTCTGTATTTAGCGGTGACTACTACAAAGAAACAAGTACTTTAAAGATTGTATTTATTTACTGTTTTTGTTTTTTTTTAAAGATTTTATTCATTTATTTGACAGAGAGACACAGCAAGAGAGGGAACACAAGCAGGAGAAGAGGGAGAGGGAGAAGCATGCCTCCCACCGACCAGGGAGCCTGAAATAGGGCTCGATCCCAGGACCCTGGGATCATGACCTAAGCCAAAGGCAGATTAACGACTGAGCCACCCAGACGCCCCTTTATTTACTGTTTTAAGCAAACTCTACACCCAATGTGGGGATCCGACCTCCAGTCCTGCGACCAAGAGTTGCGTGCTTCACTTGGCTGAGTCAGCCTGGTGCTCTAAGCAACATGCACTTTATTATATTTAAATAAATATATTTATTTATTTATTATTTGAGAGAGAGAGAGAGAGTAAGAGAAGGAAAGAGTGAGGGGGTGGGCAGAGGAAGAGGGAGAGAGAATCTGAAGCAGACTCCGTGCTGAGCATGGCGCCGGACACGGGGCTGGATCTCACGCCTCTGAGATCACGACCTGAGCCAAAACCGATAGTCGGACGCTTAACGGACTGAGCCCCCCAGGCACCCTGAAACAAGTACAAAGCAACAGTGGGTTTAGCTGAGGGGGCTGTACCACGAGCAAAATTTTCCTCCATTTTCTAAACTTTGTGTAGGTGGTCATACTATTTTCACACTACAAAACCTACAGCAAGGTAGGGCAACTCCCAAATGAACCCAGATTTCAGGGCACTGGAGATAACCATGGAAGGAATGGCATCTTTCTGAGGCACCTACCGTAAGCAAGGCTCCGAACTACGCAGGTCATGGTATGTAAAATGCACAGCCGTTCCTCGACGTGGGTCTTATTAACCCCACTCGACGCAGGAGGAACCAGCCCTGGCTAGATTAAGAAAGCTGCCTAGGGTCAGAGTTAAAAGGTGACAGGCCTGAGATGCTGTCTGCCTTCAAACCCCTTGCTCTTCTTCCCACGTATCTCCATCCCATGTCACATACAAGACCAGCCCGTGTAACAATGGCACTACGCCGCCTGGCTGGGATCAGGCAAGAGCAGTTTTGCTGGTCTGATAAAGCTCTGAGGAGGCAGGACCAGGAGGGGCCTTCAGAGGACAAATACCTTCCTGTGATTCTTCGGATCAGCAGAGAGTCTGGGATGCTGAATTCAATCACAGAGTCAAGCTTCTCTTTCCTCTTCTCCATGAGGTCGTCGAGCTGCAAGAGAGTACTATATGGCCCATCTAAGCTACCAGAGCTTGATCAGAGCCGTTTCCCTCAAAGGAATTATGAGATAAAGGGCCAAGAGTTCGTTTTCATACATTAGTGACACAAATGCAAGGCACCTACCATTTCTGCCTGTCTCACGGTCCGAGGGAAGCCATCTAGAAGAAAGCCATTTTTGCATCGAGGGGTCTCCAAATTCTTCTCAATGAGCTCCACTACCATTTCATCGCTCACCTGGAAGTTAAGAACAAGATAGCCTTGGGTTTAAATCTGTTAATTAGGTGACATGAGCGCAACTCCAGGGCCACAAGTTTGTGTTTCTATAACCTGATTAAACAGCATGTTTTCTTGACCCCAAAGAAGCAAATATTAGAGCAAATGTGGAATGGCTCCACATGCCAAAGAAAATTCAGTTTCATGACTTTTGTGGTTGCCACATATGTGTTCTCCTCCCTGGAGATTCTCTTGCGTCCCAACTATCTGGGTGAGGGAAGAGGATCCCACTGCCCGTCACTTGGACAGGAGTGTCTGAGGTCCTGAGGACCTCACCAGCCATTAGCCAGGATCCTTTCCATCAGATAATAGCTCATCAGCTGTCCTCAAGGCACAAGAAAGATGAGGGCTTCTAGCTGAGAGATCACTGAGGAGGGCTCCATGGGAGAATGGGGCTCAACCAAAATGCAGGAAGGTACCAACCTTCCCTGTTTCACAATTCTGATCAGGCGAACAGTAAAGTGGTTCAGGCCATCCTGGACATGAGGTAACAGAGAAGGCTGCTGAACTGGCAAGACTGGGTCAGAGCCAAGGAAATGAGGTGCCAGCCCAAAGCACCTCTTAGTTGCTCTAAAAGCCCTAATGAGGACCCCTCCAGCTTCCAAAAACTGGTTTTCCTCCTGAGCTTTCATAGAAACAGAGTTCCCTACTAGTATGACCGTGAAGGCTGCTAACACTTTTATCTCCTGGGACCTGCTGTGAACTTGGGGACGAAGTACAAGCTCTGTGACGAAGTGAAGGCTGGAGATAAGCAATCTCATGGCCATACCCCAATTTTTTCTCAGTACAAGATCTTATGCCAAGACCCAAAGTCCAAACTATCTAGCTTTCTGGCTTAGCTCAAGGTCTCACAAGCACGAAGGGAAAGCTAGAGATAAAGGGGCAGGTGGGCGGGTAGGGGTATGCCAGATACAGCTATGCAATCTCAAAGCCTGCCAGGAGGTAATTCGGGGATAAAGATAAAGCCAAGGCCTTCCCCAACCAACATTCTGAGATTCGAGAAGACCAGAGGGCCAAGCACAAAATGACTTCTGAAGGTGATTCCCAGATGATAAACATACCTTTTTCTACTCCCCTTCCCCCAAAATGGTATCTGATCATCTTCATGTATGAACTTAAAATAGTGAAATGTTGGGAGCCTGGGTGGCTCAGTCAGTTACGTATCTGCCTTTGGCTCAGGTTACGATTCTAGGGTCCTGCGATCAAGTCCCGCATTGGGCTCCCTGCACAGCAGGAAGTCCACTTCTCCCTCTCTTGCTCTCTCTCCATCAAATAAAAAAATAAAATATATATTTTAAAGATTTTATCTGTTTATTTGACAGAGAGAGAGATCACAAGTAGGCAGAGCGGGAGGTGGGGGTGGGGTGGGGGGGCGGGGAGGAGGGGACAGACTCCCCGCTGAGCAGAGAGCCCGATGTGGGGCTCAATCCCAGGACCCTGAAATCATGACCTGAGCCAAAGGCAGAGAGGCTCAACCCACTGAGCCACCCAGGCGCCCCTAAAAAAATAAAATCTTAAAAGAAACCAGGGAAAATGTTATGGAAGCAAATGGTTTGTAACCTTGTAAGTACTTACAACCCAGTGCATCTTCTTGCTCATGAATATTCTATACTATAACCATTGTTTCTGTAGTTTAATTAAAATGTTTTCTTGGTGTTCCAGGTTATTAAAATGCCTGAAGGTGATTTCCAGAGGCCAACTCCCAGAAAAACTCAGTTACAATTAAGCTCTGGCGCTAATCAAAGAAGATTTAGTAGATAATAGATTGTAATCATCCAAATAGATCAACTGGCCTACAAATGTAAGAAAATGCTATTATATCCCCCAAGTAGGAGGAATTATTACTTCCATCAGCCACCAAGCAACTCCACTGTTAGAGACACAGAACACAGAGCCACAAAAACAGAGTTAAAACACCCTGCGGTTTCCTGCATTCTCTCTTGGATATATCCTTGAGTTCTGGCCTAGGGATGGCAGTTTCATTTCTGGCTCTAAAACCAGGGCCTATTACAAAACGCATCAGCACAAAAGAACCTCAAGAATACTATAAATAGGGGCACCTGGCTGGCTTTGTCAGTAGAGCACGTGACGCTTAATCTCAGGGTTGTAAGTTCAAGACCCACATTGGGTGTAGAGCCTACTTAAAAAAAAAAAAAAAGGAATACTGTGAATAAAATAAATGCCACACATTCAGAATGTACCACATAACCTGCTACCCTAGAAGTCTGTGCAGTGGGTGAGTTTGTGAGAACACCCTGCAGCACAGGGCTGTCCAACAGAACTTTCTACAATGATGGAAACGTTCTAAAGCCGCACTGGCTAACAAACCTTTGAAATGCGGCCAGTGAGACTGAGCAGCTGAATTTTCAATTCAAGGAAATCTCAATTAATATCCATGGTTCCACGTGGCCGGTGGCCACCAAAGGAGGCAGTGCAGACTGAGACGCAGGAATATCCACATTCACTGGGACCACCGAACCTACCAGTTTCCCGGCATCCATAGTGGCCTTCAGCTTTTTCCCCAGTTCTGAGCCAGATGCAACCATGGCCCTCAGCATGTCCCCAGTGGCCAAATGGCAGACGCAGAAGTTTTCGGCCAATTTGGGTGCCTGTGGAGGGGAAGATGAAAACCAAGACAGAATTAACACTGAAGGCCCTGGCATCAGGCTGCCCGGGGGTGAGTCTGGTCCTGTCACTGGCTCAGTGGACTTTGGCCAATGCCCGATTTCCTTACCTGGAATAGGGATAAAAGTACCAGATGTTATAGTCCAATGTAGAACAATTATAGGGTCACAGTAAGATTTCTACGGCAGAATCCCTGTAAAGCACTGAAAACTGCCCCTAGCACACAGGAAGTGGTCATAAATATTAGCTATTCTCACAACTTCCACCAGACACGCCCTAGTAACACAAAAGCCTCAGTTTACAAATGGGAAGAATCAAAACAGCAGTATCAGTACCTCTCAGGGTTGCTGCAAAGTTTATTTATTTTAAAAAAGATTGTATTTATTTATTTGACAGAGAGACACTGTGAGAGCAGGAATACAAGCAGGGGGAGTGGGAGAGGGAGAAGCAGGCTTCCTGCTGAGCAGGGAGCCACCCAATGTGGGGCTCGATCCCAGGACCCTGGGGTCATGACCTGAGCCAAAGGCAGACGCTTAACTGACTGCACCACCCAGATGCCCCTTTATTTATTTAAAGATTTACTTTTTATTTTTTTAAGATTTATTTATTTACTTATTTGACAGAGCTCACAAGTAGGCTGGGGGAGGAGGGCAGGGCAGGCTCCCTGCTGAGCAGACAGCCCGATGCGATGCGGGGCTCAGTCCCAGGACCCTGAGATCATGACCTGAGCCGAAGGCAGAAGCTTAACCCACTGAGCCACTCAGGCGCCCCTATTTTAAGATTTTTATTTTGAAGTAATCTCTATGCCCAATGTAGGGCTCAAACTTACGACCCAGAGATTAAGAGTCATACTGGTGGAGCCGGCCAGGCGCCCCAGCTGCTGAGAAGTTGAAATGAGTTCACGTAGATCAACCACTCAACACAATGCCTGGTATATAATGTGTTGAATGAACATTTGCCAAAGAAATGAATGCACTACTGTCAAGTAAGGTGGCCAGGGGCCTGGGAGGTAGCCCGGGGCCAGGTGAGGAATGCGGGTTTCCCCTCAGGCACATCTGGTTCTTCCCCTTTCCTCTCAGAGCCTCAGTTTCCTGATCTGTTTAAGATGAAGGCAAAAAGTCTCCATCTCAGAAAGTAGCTGTGAGGATGAGATAGGATACATAAAAAGAGCATTTGGCCAACAGTATATACTTACATAGTAGTTTTAGGAGGCAGAATAACCTTTTGGTTAAGAGCATGGGCTTCAGAGTCAAAATTCCTGGGGTTCAGACACCAGTCGCTAGATATGTGACTAGAGAAAAACTGTATCACCTTACTGCCTTTCAAATCTCCTCTAAGTCGAATGGAAACAGTAGCAGGCCCTCCATCACTGGGCTGATGGGATCAAATGGAGCTCGACATATATACACCAGGACAGACACAGAGTAAACACTCTGTGAACTTTAGCTGGCACTGCAGCCCCAGTCCTAATTCCACGTTCATTCATAGAGAAAGAAAACACTGACACCCCCTCCAAGAACCCTGCTGGGAGCCAGGAAAACAAGACATGGATTCTGGCCTCTACAGGCTCCTAGTTTGGTGGACAACACAGCAGAATAAAGACCAGAACAGGAAGAACTCTGAACAATACAACGGGAGTACCCTCCTCACCCCACCCCTCCACCCTGCAGAATTTACAAGGAATTGAATCAGTTCACGAAGCTTGATATTTAGTGTTCTGGTTCAACTGTTTCAAAAAATAAGTAGGGTTGGATTCTTATTCAAGCCAGTGCACTGGGAGTTTTCTTAGTTGCACACAGGAAAGGGAAATAGATGGGGCTCAGTGTAGCAAATTCTAGTTTGATTCATGGACTGATTCAGTTCAAGCAAAGACATGACTTCACAGCAAAATGGAATCCAGATGAAGGAGGTGTTAAAAGATGCACTTTGGAAAACCAGTGAGGGTCAGGACTCTCTGGCAGTGGAAAACCTTCTGGCCCTCCAGGTTGGTGGCCACACCCCCAGAGAACTGAGCTTTTCTGCCAATCTTTCTCCTTGGTTGTTGAAGTTAACCTGGGGGAACATTATGGAGACCGGGATTGTGCGGTTCAGGATGATGGGATTCTACAGCTGTGTGACCTTGGGCCAGTTACTTAACTTCTCAGCATCTGTTTCCTCACCAGTCAGTTGGGGATGTCTATCTACTTGATTGGGCTGTCGTGAGGATAACAACATTGGGCTGGTTTGAGGAAGTAAAGTATCCAAAACATTAAGACACACAGTGGGCATTTAATAGAAGACTTCCCTCCATGGTCTTTCTTTTTTGCATTACTCTACTTGCAACCTACAGAAGCATTCTGATGAAATAACTGGACTGTTTAATCCCCATCCCCTCACACTTCAAGATTATGCTTCAGGGCACTGCTTCTACTCCAGACCACCAGGGGATGCTGCTAAAATGCAGATTCTGATTCCACAGGGCGGGGCCTGAGCATCTGCATTTTTAACAAGCTGGTAGGCCTGGCTGTCCTGTTGGCCCCTGGACCACACTCTTGCTGCTTGAGGCCCTGAGTCACTTGTGTCTCACTGGCCATGAACCAAGAAACAGGCTCATCACCTCTGTGAGAACCCTGTGGGGGAAGAGGTGGGCTTTTGTGGGGGGCACGGGTAAGAATGGCTGAAACCGCCAGACAGGCAGCATGGTGGGTGGGTTTAATAACTTCGGTCTTCAGTGTATTACCACAGTCATCTGGGGCACATGCTAAAAATATAAAGCCAGGCCCACCCTTAAAGTTTATGCCTGAGAGGTTCTCAGGCAGCACCCAGGGATTCTGATGCACAGTCTGTGAAACCCCCCGGGGGCAGTGGGACAAGACTGGGTTTTTGGTGGTACACATCTGGGTTGGAAACTAGGACCCGCAATTTACTCACTGTGCTCCCCCTGAACAAGTTATGCTGCCTTCTTAAAGCCATAGTGTCTTCATCCCTGGAGTCCAGACAATAATGTCTACTCTCAGAGCTATTATGGGGACTTAATAAAATTATGTATGCAGAAGCATTCAGCACAGTGTCTGGCATTCAGGGAAATAAAGGGAAGCTATTAGTTGTTGAGGTTGGATTTAATCTCAAACTCATGTTTTCTCACTTTGAAATTACCTCTCTGCCTCTGTCTTTCCCACTCCCACATCCCATGCTCCTGAATATGTAGCTGGAATCATCTCCTAAAATACTGCTGGGCGTGCCCCCCATCCCCAACACCTACACACACATTCAGAAGCCTTCCATGTCTCCTCAGTGCAAAAGGGGAGAAGTCCAAATATCTTAGTCTAGCACTCAGTGTCCTCCATAATCAACTTCCTACGCAGCCTAAGCTCTTCAAATTTACCTCCACCTTCAAATTTACCTATCTGCCTTGCACCACTGTAAACAGCAGCTCTATGTATGGTTCACGAATACATAATGTAAGCATCTCTGAGGACCTTAGCTCCTCTCCCTTCTACTCTTCCCTACTCTTCCCAAATTCTGAGCATATCTCTCTCAAAATACTCTCACCTATCCCTTGTTCCTCTGATAAGGACACATCAACATCAGCTGAGTATTTGCAACATGCCAAGGGGTTTTTCTATGCAGTTTTACTGCAGTTAGTATGCATAATATACAACAAACCCAGGAGGTAGGAACTATTTTTAATCTGTATTTTATAAATGAAATTCAGAGGCTAATTGCCCAAGATCACGTAGCTAATAACATCAGAGCTGGCAAGCCCTAGCACTTATCCATGATATACGGCCTTATTAAAAAACAGCAATAACAACCCACAGAGCCTTAGTGGCTGTTTCTGAGGAAAGGGTGCATGTGTGTATGTGTGTGTGTGTGCGCCCGCCTGGAAGGGAGCACAGGAGGATTTTGCCATGCTGGCAACATTCTGTTTCTTAACATGGATGTAAGCCGCCCAAGGGTAATTGTGAAAATTCATGTTGTGAAGATCCATCAAGCTGCTCACTTATGATATGTGTACCTTTCTCCATGTACAGTATACCTCCATAGAAAGCTTTTTAAAAAGCACAGAAACCTGTGTTTGAGTATCTCTTCTGCCTCTTAACTTACCATGGAACCTTAGGCCAGGGATTCTTCGAGACTATTTCCTCATCTATAAATTGGGGCTAACGATACCGACATTACGGGCTGGGTAGGAGGAAGAATGGAATACTCTCGACAAATGACAGTTCTTGTCCCAACCCTGAACTAGTCCTAGCATTTGTCAGTTACTCATCTGACACGTTCCGTGTGGTACTTCGCACTGGTACGGGTTGTGCGCGTGCTGTTCAGTTCTGCCTCTACACCCAGACTAGTGTCAACTATGAAAGATGGTGACTCTGCTCAGGAACCAGTCATGGATTCAAATCCTGCCTTTGCTACTTCTTTATGCCTATCCTGGGGCAAGGTACAGCATTTGGGCCTCAGTTTATTAGTACAAAGGGCATGGATAAGAACAGGACCTACCTTCTAGGGCTGTAGGGTTAAATCAGACGACATGTGGAATCTCTGACTAGGGCCCTGTCACATAACTGAGCAAAGGGTGACTATTTGTTGTACTGTATCTTCTTGAGGGCAAGGGCTGCTCTCTGCATCTCTAACACTAAAACAATCAAGCACAATATGCATAGGGTAGGAGAAAATCTAACCCAGGGTAGGAGATAGCCAATAAAAGAGCAGGGGCTTGGGAGCCATTCAGGTGGCGGATCTGCCGATAACTTGCTATGTAAACTAGAGAACAGGCCCTCTGAACTTCAGTTTCTCTAACTGTAAAAAGGGGAATAAAAGTATGGGTCTCACAGAGGTGTCATGTCGCCGCACTGATACAGCTGACAGAGACTGGCCTGCAAGAACTGGTATAAGCTGGACACATACAAAAAACTGTGAACGGGGCGACAGAGACACCTCGGTCACACTATCTGGTCGCTGCCTGAAAATAATTTGTGAAGGGAGAGTGGATGGGGAAGCAATGGCCACCAGCTGATGGTTCTTGGGGCTGGATAATGGGTAGATGGGGACCAGTCTTCTTTTGTATTCAAACTTGAGGTACCTGGGTGGCTCAGTCCGTTAAGTTTGTTTGACTCTTGATTTCGGCTCAGATCATGATCTCAGAGGATGGGGAGATCAAGCCTCTTGTGGGGCTCTGCAATGGGCATGGAGCCTCCTTAAGATTCTCTCTCCCTCTGCCCCACCTCCACTGCCTTCCCCCCACCCCCACCCCGGGTCACATGCTCTCTCTCTCAAAAAACAAAAAAACCCCACAAATTCTTAAAAAAAAAGTTAGGGGGTGCTGGGTGGCTCAGTCGGTTAAGCATCTGCCTTTGGCTCAGATCATAATCCCGGGGTCCTGGGACTGAGCCCTGTGTTGGGCTCCCTCCTCAGTGGGAGTCTGCTTCTGCTTCTCCCTCTGCCCTCAGTCCCCCTCCCCCATCTTGTGCTTTCTAACTCACCCCCTCTCAAAATAAATAAAATCTTAAAAAAAAAAATTAGGGAGTCACCCTAATTAGGGTGACTAAAATTAGCCTCCCTAAAAAATTAGGGAGTCACTGACTGCTAGCTCAGTCAGTGGAGCATGAGACTTCAGATCTTGAGGTCTGTGAGTTCAAGCCCCACATTGGGGAGTAGAGCCTATTCAAAGGAAAAAAATAAATATAGGATGTGTTTGTAGACTAAATGCTGCTGGACGCTGCCACTTTGCAACCTCTGATTTATGAACACTGCTGTTTTTATTTTACTTTTTTTTTTTTTAAAGATTTTATTTATTTGACAGAGAAAGAGACAGTGAGAGAGGGAACACAAGTAGGGGGAGTGGGAGAGGGAGAAGCAGGCTTCCTGCAGAGCAGGGAAGAGCCACCCAGGTGCCCCTGCTGTTTTTTTTTAACTCCATAAAACTACAACCACTAGTATTCCTTTGTCCCACTTACGAAAAGAAAGGTGTACAGAGGTTAAAAGACTTGTTTCCTCAAGTCCCAATTACATCTCCTTCACTTCCACAAAGCCTTCTCTGACCAACACTTGCTGTATGCACACCCTTATAAATCAGCTCATAAGTATAATTTCCTTCAAAACTTCCTGAATACATCACTCTTTACACTGAAATACATCCGGTTGGAAGGGAAAGGAAATGTGTAAGATGAGGAAGTCAATAATTATTAAACGCCTGTGATGTGCCAGGTTGTCATTTAGGTACGTAGGGATGCTTTTACACATGTATATAACACATTCTTCCAAAATCCTTGTCAGCTTTTGGTCTGTATGAGTAAGGACCCTATCAGTCTTGTTCACTGCTCTATCTCCAATGTTTAGTACTAATAAAATGTTGAATAAGTAAGGTGCGTATTATCACCATTTTTCAGGTGAAGACATTCAGGTTTAGAAGTTACAAAGCTTGCTAGACTATAAAACCCTTGTCTCAGCACTGGGATGGGTTGTTCATTACACAACTAATAAAATTATTAACTTCTGTATGAACTAAGAAAAACTAATTGATGCATTTGAGCTACCCTGTTTGTAGTCACAGCAAAAATTTGCAGAGTCTGGGATTAAATATTCTTCGGCTGCAGTTTCCCTAATAACGGAGGGTGATAGCAACAGGAAAGAGACTTCAAAGTTAATGGAGGTCAAGGGGATTAGGTAACAGTGAGTTCCAAGGATGAATCAGCTCCAGCTAGGGAAAGTGGTCGTTCTTGACCTAGTGCCCAGAGCCAAAAAGCAATTATCACAGGAATGACCTGTATCTCCCAGACTTCCCTTGTCATCACCCACATTAATCTGTGTTCTTCAACCATTTCCAACTCCATCAAGTGCTAAGTGATGTGCTGGGTGCCAGAGAGGTCTCAAGAATGAGTTAGACAAGATCTTTTCAAGTGCTTTTCAAAATCTTTTCAAGAAAAAGTGGGCACAGAGCTGTCCCCTGAACACCATTCACTTAGGTGCTCAGGACTTTCAGGAATTCCATCTTAAGCAGCTAACGACCAACAGGAACCTGTGGCCTGGAGGGCAATGCCAGACCTTAAGCAGGAAGGGGACACTGATAATCCAACCTATGGGCTTCCAAATCTTAAAAGGAGATCATAAATCCCAACTCTGATCTACAGGTCCATTACAGCCCTGACACCAAGTGAGGACCCGCAGCCTGCTAAGGTAGAAGGTAACTTTAGAGTCCCAACTCCTGGAGTCCCATGGCTCCTGAGGTTCCATTCCAGACTGCATGAAGTCAATTTTGATATCTTCGGAAAGCAACGTAACCTCTCTGGGACTGTTTTCTTACCCGTATGTTGATACCGTCTCTCATTTCTCCCAACTTACCTGGCTCAGGTAGGTCATACCTGATTTCTCTTAGAACTCTTAATCAGCACACCCCAGTTCCCCCGCTGTCTCACGTGCTAAAGATGTTCCTCCACCTTCAGTCATTAACCCTAACCAGCAAGGTTCCCCTACCCCAAATGCCTGGAACATAACCCTGGACAAGCCACTCCCACATTGTAGGGAATCGGGGGTCCCTGACTCCACTCAGGCTGTAATCTAGATGCTTCAACCAAAGGCTCACCCTACCGCTCAAATCCTCTCAGCTTTTAACTCCTTAAGGAATCTAAATCAGTCCTTTGATCCCAACATGACACCTCAAGTCGAGATCCCTCCAGAACTCTAATCCTAACTCAGACTTCCCCCGATCTCCAACTGGACCCTCTCCCAAACGCCTTCCCAGAACCCTCCCACACCCTCCCCAGGCCTAGGCTCCAGGTCCCGCTTCAGGGCTATCTGGAGCTCCGGCCCTCCTGACCTTGGAGTTCCACAGGCTCCGCCGCCAAGCCCGCCCCTGCAGCTCACCTGGGTACCCTTGCCGGCCCCGGGAGGCCCCAGGAGCACGGCCCGGATGCCTTTGGGACACTCTGGGGCCGGTTCGGGCGCGGGGACGTTGGGAGCCATGGCCGCCAAGCCTCTCACCGCTCAAGCCGCTAGCACACACCTCGCAGGTCCAGCGCTTCCAGTCTAGCGCGCCGCGCACGCCACGCACGACCCGCTCGCCGCTAACACTGGTCCGCCGCCACGTCCGTCAGTTTGCTTCTCCCGCCCCCGAACGTGATGGACACTTCAATTTACCAACCATGAGGCGATATTGTAGAAAGCTGCTTTTGATTGGACAGAATCTGTACGGGAGTAAGGAAGGGGCGGGCGATCATATTCCGAGGCGGGGTTGGGGCTCCCGGCGGGTGTGTGTAGTGGGCGGGAAAAAGTGAAGTAAGACCTGAGGCCCGGCTGGAAGTTCTAGTTTGGCTTTGACAGTTAATGACACCCGCAACTCCGGTAAAGCCCTATGCAATTGCTTCTGGGAGTGCAAATGGGTGAAATCAGTCTTCGAAGACAAGTTGATACTATGTATCAAATATTCTTTGGCCCAACAACTGCGCTTCCAGGAATTAAAGATATAATCAAAGAAAGATAAATGCGTGAAGATTTGTGTAACAAAGACGTTACTTGTAGCACAACAGCCTAAAAGCCTCAAAAAAGCAAACCAAAAGACAAAACAAAAACAAAGTCAATATCCCAAATATTCAACAAGAGATTGGTTAAATAGATTGCAACAAATTTGTATTCTGAATCCCCCCCCCTTGTATAAAATATTTAAACACATGGGAAAATGTTCACCAAACAGGATACAAAATTGCAGTTACAACAAAATCCCACTTTTGAGTTACAAGTGATGATCTCTGTACACTGTGATTACAGGAGCCTCTGCCATTCTTCGTGCATGTTTATATTTTCAAAAAGTTCTATAATAAGTTATGTAATAAACAGATACTACTTTTATAATAAGAAAACAACCTTTTTAAGTCAGGAAAAGCTTTTCTCAAAAGAGATAACTCTTGGATATATCTCTTGGAGATATCCTTCTTGGATAAGAAAAGAATTCCTACAGCTTTTTGGTGTGTGAAAGTTTCATCCACATCCCCTGTGAAGCAATCCTCTAGACCCTGGCAAGACTAGCCCCAAGGGCCCCTTTGGACCTTTAGTCAGGAGTGTGATTATGAAACAATTATGTTTCCCCACAGGCTCTTAGCAACTCATTTTCTACATCCTAGTGGTGAATTTGCTCTTCCTTCAGTGTGATCTCTTCTATATTACCTCACAAAAGAAATGAACATGTATTCTCCCTCTCCACATTGGACATCTACACAGTGCCTGAACTTGAAAGAGGCAGAGATTGTTAAACCCATTTTTCAGGAAACTATGCAGTGGTTAGCCCAGAGCCACACAGTGGCAGGGTCACAATTAAGACTATGGATGATGAGCTGGTGCCCCAGAGAGCTCAGAGTTCATGGGAGTGAGGGGGAGGGTAGGGAACAAGCACATCTTTTCTGGTGGAAACTTCTATGTAGCCAAAATTTACTTCACTCCAAGAAAGTCAGAGTTTATGGAGGGTTGCTGTACCCAGGACACCAGGCAAGGGGCATAGGATCAGTTTTCCCTTTCTGTCACCTATCCCTACAGTGATTTATACCAGGCATGGATCCCTCAGGAAGGAAAGCAACTGAGACTACACAGAAATACACAGTGTAAAGTTTATTTATTCAAATTTTAATAATGTCCTAGTCTTTGGGGGGCATACTAAAGACCATAAGGGGGATATTGACAGCCCTCGGGAAGGAAGGAGTACTTCATTCATTTAGTCTCTCAACTTAATTTGTAATAATAACTGCTATCATCTACCTATTATTGGGTACTGCGTGCCAGCCCTGTGCTAACACTTTACATGCATTATTTCATTTAATTTGCACAATAAACTAGATACCTAATTACTTTATTTTCTGTAATTTTTTAAATAGAGGAAATTAAGGCACAGAGAGGTGAGGTTGAGGCTGAGCAGATTTGAGCTCAGTTCTGTCTGACTGGCTGGTGCCCAGGACTGCAAGACAACAACACAGACAGTTTCTGCAGATGTGAGACCCACAGCGCAGCTGGATTCCAGGTAGAGGGATCCTGGACATTTCTGTGAAAGAGATGGACCTTGAAAGATACAGAGGATTTGGCTTTGGGGTGGGGGGTATATTTCAGGCTGAGAGAACATTCAGAGCAAACTAGCAGAGGTGAGAGAGAGAGGGGGAGAGATAAGAGTGTGCTGTAGATTTTATCCAGGGGGCTTTGGTGAGTTGGGAAATTTCTTAAGTAGAACCATCATGATCAGATTCACATCTTTTTTTTTTTTTAAGATTTTTTTATTTATTTGTTTGACAGACAGAGATCACAAGTAGGCAGAGAGGCAGGCAGAGAGAGAGGAGGAAGCAGGCTCTCTGCTGAGGAGACCCCGATGTGGGACTTGATCCCAAGACCCTGAGATCATGACCTGAGCCCAAGGCAGAGGCTTTAACACACTGAGCCACCCAGGTGCCCTGATCAGATTCACATCTTACAAGGCTCAGTTGCAGGACAGACTGGAGAGGAGAGGAAGAGATGAATGCCAAGAGACAAGCCAAGAGATACTTCTGTTCCTGTTTTGTGATAGGCAGAACAATCCCCTCCCCACTCCACCCCCAAAGATGTTCGCGTCCTAATCCCTGAAACTTGTGACCATGTTACCTTACATGGCAAAAGGGACTTTGCAGATGTGATTAAGTTAAGGATTTTGAGACGGAGAGAGATTATCCTGCATTATCTGGATGGACCCAATATAATCACGAAGGTCCTCATTAAGGATAAGAGGGAGGCAGGATAACCAGAGAAAGAGGTGTGATGGCACAAACAGAGGTCAGGGTGGTGTGATTGTTGACTGGGGACCACAAGCCAAGGGATGATCAAGGAATGATCCAGCCTCTGAAGCTGGAAAGGCAAGGAAACAGACTGTCCCTTAGGGCCTCCAGAGGAAACACATCTCCCGCTGACACCTCCATGTTAGCCCCATAGGACCCATTTTGGATTTCTGACCTCCCGAATTATAGGATAATAAATTTGTATTGTTCTAAGCCATCAAATTTGTGGTAATTTTTAAAAAGATTCTATTTATTTATGCGAGAGAGAGAGAGAGAGCATGAGAAGAGAGAATTTCAGAGGGAGAAGCAGACTCCCTGCTAAGCAGGGAGCCTGATGGGGGACTTTATCCTGGGAATCCAGGATCATGATGTGAGCTGAAGGCAGTTGCTTAACCAAATGAGCCACCCAGCACCCAAACTTGTAGCAATTTACTACAGCAGCAATAGGAAACTAATAAATGTTCTTTGGGTACAAGCAACAGAAACAGACTCTGGCTACATCAATCAAGGGAGGAACCTGCTGGGATGATACAGTTGTATGACAGGTGGCCTTAGGAATGACAGGAGCCAGAGCTGCTTTCGGGAATCTAAATATCGAGAATAAGTAGACAAGGTGGAGGGGGATATTTATTCCCTCCTCTGGCTTTTTCCAGAAAAAAAAGAGGGACCTCTTTTAGAGTAATATTCCTGCCTCTTGTCTCTGCAGAAGAGAAGGAGGAGTGACTTATCTGATTGCTGAGTTTAGGGAGACTAAACGAAGCTCAGTTCACCTCTTCCTCCTCTTTCTCTTTCAGATCTACCTTTTCACAAGAACCACGTTTTGTTTTGTTTTGTTTTGTTTTGTTTTTTCTCTCTTCCTTCTTGCTCTAAAATTTCCCAGGATCTGACCCTCACAGGGAAGATTATGATTTCCCAGCACTGCCTGAGACTGGATGGGAAAGATTGCTTGCTGGAGTTCCATATTAGTAATTCCACTTGTCTGTCAGACCTCAAGGTACATCTCCAACAGGTCTGTCAGTAAAAAAGGTGATATTTAGATCCCCTTCTGTCCTACTTCGGTAGCCACCTATCACTGGATTCTAAACTTGGGTGAGGCTACCCTCAAACCCAACAAATGAGTTCTTATGATGCTGTGATTGTAATGACTCAGCTTGACTCTTCCCTGCATCTGCGTCATTCTACTCAAGATTCAAAGCTCTGGCTTGGTTTGTACCTCATGTTCACCCCTTGGCAAAGGTGGAGAGTACCTTGATTAATAGTTCCCTCAAGATTGTGGGAGTGGGAGACGTAGTTCCCCAAAAGCACATGATGACAGTTTCTGAAATAAGGGGGAAGAGCTTTTGGGCAGGCAGAAATGACAGATGTCCCCAGCAGGGAGTATTGCAAAAGTCCAGGAGAAAGGGAACGAGGGACTGGCCTATGGAGGTAGAATTAATAGGAACTGACACTAGACCAGATGGGGATAATAATGTCCAAGTTCTGGGGCCAGGTGATTGGGGGAGGGTGGTATCATTAATATTCATCTCATTCATTCTTTAATTGATTCATTCAGTGTATATTTAGTGAGCATATACTATTGCCCAGGATTGTGCTTGGTGCCAGGGATCTGGTGCTGACAAGGAAGACAGGGTATCCACTCTCATAGATCTTGCAGTCAAGGAAGGAACAAAACTCAAGTAAGATGGCAATTTCAGTACAGGGATGAAGACAATGCGGCAGAAGGGACAGCCTATGGTGGGAAGACAATGGAGGGGCACCTGTCCCAGATTTGAAGGGGAATGACATCTAAGAGACATGAAACATCAAAGGATGAGGAGAGTTTGGCTGAAGGAGGGAGGGGACACCAGGAGCAGTATGGGCCAAGGTCTGGAGGCAAAGGAGCCAGTGGCAAGTCAAGGATAACTGTGGTACTCAGCAGAAGAACGTCTCTCCTATGTTGAAATCCAATACTGTAAAGAGCTTGGAGGGCAGGGGACAGTCATGTCTCCTTGTCTCCTCCTATAGAAGCTGAAAGGGCAGAATCTTTCCTGCCTTTCTGGCAAAGGGACAGTGAGCACATGACCTGGCCTGCCCAATAGGATGTCTCTCCCCAGGACTTTGACCTCTGAGAGAGAGAGAGAGGCAACGTGGCAGGGCTATTCTTGGAGGGGACCTGGGAGTCTTGCAGCAGTGGGTGGCCAGTGGCCAGTAGCAGCTATCCAACTGGGCTTCTCCTGCACCATGTCTTTGCCTGTGTTCTTAGCCTAAATACTTTGGG